GAAGTGATTTCTCTTTTGCCAAAAGCAAATGTCATGCCGTGACTGTGGCTTCTATGTTTAATGTGATCACTCAGCACTTGCTCTGACATGGAAATGTGGCAGTTGAAAATACAGCCTCGATGTTTCCTGTCCTGGGAATTTGCCCTTGAGAACACGTTTCATGCATTTGCCATGTTTTGTAATAGGCAACAAATGTTGAGTTCTCACCTGAGACCAACTAATGAATTTTACCCCTTATATTTAATTGTTAATAAAAACATAAATTTACTCTAAATCAGGGGTGTCAAACTGCTGGCCCAAGGGCCGGTTTCATCATACCGAAGCCGCGCCCACCCCATTGCCAGCAATGCAAAAAGAGTCGTGATACATCGCGACATGTCACATGACGTGATGAGTTTGACACCTGTCCTCTAAATATATAGACCACATTCAAGCCAGTTACTACATCAACTTTCTTTGGGTTGTGTGAAAGGTCAGCCTAAAATATGCATTTTCAAAACCAAACCAAAACTTTAGCTTTCAACCCCCTTAACTGGGGGGGGGGAACCCTGACATTCCCTAAGATCATGCCAGTTTATAGTCAGTTTGCACTGTTACGCTATTCACAGTGGTCATCCACTCTCCCCACCCCCAAATTATATGAGGCCTCATGTCTTCCAAAAGATTGTTTCCTTTTGTATTAGATGTGTTTATGAAAAGTCATGCAAAGTCATAAGGTAACTGGCTTACAAATACCTGATTTTCTATAGATGTTCTTTATGCATTGACTTCTCATATGCTGTAGGTATAATAGGGTTGTTATTTTTTTACAGCCTACAGGCATTCTCATAGATCATTCTTTGAGGGGTTAATGTCATGCAATACAACAGGCAGTCTGGTCACACTGCATTGGCCTTAATATAACATTATCCAACTACATACCCTGATCTTTCAGATCTCTCACTTAAATAACTGACCTTGATCTTCCTCAGAGTTGTATAGATTTTATTTTTGATGTCAGAAATCTGTAGATTACTAGAAAACCTATGACTCCTGGGTTGACCATAAATTACTATTTGCCACATATTCTTGGGTCAATCTTCCTTTTCCTCCTCTGCCTCTTCTTCTCTCTCATTCTGTGCCTTTTGTTGTAATTCTGGAGACATACAAGCCTTTATCCTCTTCTTCTTCATCTCTTTTGCTTTTATTCTTTATCTCTGATCCTGGAAATGTGCATTTCCCTGCTCCTTTGTCTCTTCCTCTCTTCTCCTTCTATGCCTGTTGTCTTTCTGGAGACATGCATGTTTCTCCTCCTCTGTCTCTTCTTCTCTCAGGTTATTTGTCTTGACTGTTTGAAATTTCAATACCACAAGAGTCAGGTGTTCCAGATTTTTATGCATTCTTTAACTTGAGGTGCCTTGATTCAAAAACTGTTGCGGTGTAATGCACCAGGAGTGTGAACAACTTCCAACTATCTGCCAGCCTCCCCATTGACTTTGCATGTGGGAAGCTGGCAAGGAGCATAGGAAATCATGATCACATGGGGATGCCACAACAGCCAGAACTTTGCAAATAAATGGCTGTGGACATTGTGGAAATTTCAATTTCCCAGGACTAATGGATCCAAGATTTTTTATTTTTAAGTTAGCAGATTTGAGGTACCTTGATTTTAAAAATTGTTTTGGCATAATGCACCATTTGGTACAGTTAATTAACGGGGTGGGGTGGGGGCAGAGTTTTAGTACTATATAGATTTAATCTTCAAGAATGGGAATATTTGGCTGATTTTCTTCATATAAGTGCATGAAAGTCTTGAATCTGATTGTTCATTCTAACTGGACCTGAAAAGGTTAATATTGATAAAGCATTATAATCTAATATAGTATAATATCTAATCCATATTTTTTTAAAAAAATTGCAGAGTATGATTATAGACAAAAGAACTAAAAGTCAATAATCTCGATATTGCATACTGTACCAAAATAAAATAGAAATATTCAAAATTATATGTAGGTTATATGCAAACTTAGTTTCCTTAGTGCCTATTACATAGTGAAAATATTGGAATTTATGCATTAGAAGGACGTATCAGTGGATTTGGGGAAATCCCAAGCTTTTAAAAAGAATGTTTAGGTAAAAATTGTTGGGTCATAAAACCATTAAATGAAAGGAATAATCCTAATGTAGAAGACATACTTCAAAACTAGAGTTTCTAAGGACTAGAAATGACAATTATGTCTATAATCATCATCTAGCACTAAGCCTGAAAAATAAAAGGCATAATTTCTGTTAAACTGTTGGAATGGTGAAAAAAAAAACATATACACATAGTTTCAACTGCAGTGGGCAAAACAAAAGAATTCACTTTCATGTTGTTAATGGTCAATTTTAAATGGTTTCATTCTAATATACAATAAGCATTCCTACATTTTCATAGAATAGAATAGAATAGAATAGAATGGAATAGAATAGAATAGAATAGAATAGAATAGAATAGAGCTGGAAGGGACCTTGGAGGTCTTCTAGTCCAGCCCCCTGCTCAAGCAGGAAAACCTATACCGTCTCAGACAACTGAATGTCTAGTCTCTTCTTGAAAATCTCCAGTGATGGAACGTTCACGATTTCTGGGGATAAGCTGTTTCACTGGTTGATTGTCCTCACTGTCAGGAAGTTGTCCTTAATTCCAGTTTGCTTCTCTCTTTGATCAATTCCCACCCCTTGTTTCCTGTCCTTCCCTCTGGTGCTTTGGTGAACAACCTGGCCCCCTCTGCCTTGTGGCAACCCCTCAGATACTGGAACACTGCTATCATGTCTCCCCTATTTCTTCTTTTCTTTACACCAGCCAAATCCAAGTCCCCTAGCCGTTCTTCATATATTTTAGTCTCCAGGCCTTTGATCATCTCATTTAGTGTCTTCAGGCAATTTGGAAGCTGTGAATGTGATACTTAGGTGGCTCCTTCCTAGCAGTAAATCCTATCAATGTGCTTCATTCTCACTTAACACATGCTCCAATTAATCTTTCTGACATAATGTTCTCTTAAATTGTGGATTTTTTTTCCTTGAGTGATTTTTCCCAAGGTCTTCCAGGAAATCTTGGCTTCCTTGTACTACTTAGTATGCTATGAAACTATGGAACAACCATTTTATTTGTTGGACATTGCTTAAAGTAGATGCAACCTAATTAAGAAATGTGAAGAAATCACACCAGCAAATGTTTTATGAACATTATGAAATTAAAAGATTAGGAAACTTATTAAATTTGGTTCTCTGATAAGTAGTCAAGACCCAAAGGAGATGGTGTGAAATAAAGTGTGCCCAGGAATCCCAAAGATTTGTGGGCAAGATAGAGATCAGTTTCTTTTAATAACTACCCAAAATGTTTAAATATTGAGTAAATCATATGCAGGCAGAAAACTGAACCTAAGACAAACAGCAGTAACCGGAATCTAGGGATTTTTCACTGCCAAAATAAATTGCTTTTCTAGCACCTCTTATTTTCCCCATTTTTCATTGAGTGTAAATTATACTCATGTTCTAACCCAGTGGATTATTTGCAAAGCTGTTTATCAGATCCCAACTGGGCAACAATTGGAAAATTAGTGGCCTTACTGTGTTTCACACATAAAAGATATCCCAGTGTAAATCCCATCTGTTGTCTTTAAGATTCAGAATTATAAATGTTTTCAAATAGTATAGTATAAAAAGTGTTGGCACTGACATAATTCAAAATCATTTATACAGATATAGAGATTGGTAACAAGGCTATTGAAACTGAAGCTATAAAGGGAAGATTTTCACTATTATGAAGTAGCTTATACAAAGTTGCCTTTTGTCTTTTTTTCTTTTCCTTTTTCTCCTTAGTGTACTTGTCCAGGCATATGCATGCTGTCCTTTTGCCATCAGTGGCTTCAGACCAAACTCTTTGTATAGCCAAAGGCTCCATTGTTTGGTCATTTGAAAGGAAGGCTCTTATGTCACAATGAACAAGATGAATCGTTTGGCATGGCAGCACCTTATCGCCTCCCTGCTTAAATCCTATTCCTCAGGAAGAAAAACAAGTCCAGAAATATCATCCTTTCTCCCTAAGCTAACTCATAATATTCAGTTGTAGAGATAGTTTATGAGAAATCTCAAACTTCTTCAAATGTCAGATGTACTCTGATTTTTAAAAAAGTGTTTTGATAATGCTCTATTAAACTCTCTGTCCTTTAGGAACATAACCGTGAATTCTGAAAATGCCCCTTTCAAAAGATAAAGGAAAAATGCCTCCATTAATGCATGTCAATGAAACTTTGATGATTGCCCTATATTTTTTAAAAAGTAAGAATGAAGTAAGCATTTCTTTCTGTCCATTAAAGAGTGCCCACTGGCAGGATCCAGGGACAGAGCCTCTTCCATCAGGGCACTTTGCCTTTTCTATCAGAACTTTGTCTCTTGGAGGTTAGATTATACTCAACCTTGATAGCCTATTCAGGAGCTTTATGTACCCAGGCATGGCGGTCAGAATATGTGGTAGAGCTCTTGAGAGGGCTGTAGTGATGGTTATTAAGTTTTTTATGATGATATTGTTATTTGATATGTTTAATGCTGCTTGCTGGATCCCTGAGGTTGGGATGGGCAGCCATGTGAACTGGATAGATGGGTGGAAGAGAAGGCTTAGTCTTGCCTTCAGACCAGCACAATATATGTCTGGTTGTTAATGGAGAGTTGTTGTTGCAAAACTCATGCAGTGTTAATAGTCATTCTCTTCTTATCTCAGATTGAAATATGCTGTGGGTTTATTAAAAAATATTGTTGTTGTTTTCTTAAGCTTTTATTTATATTTTGGTAGAATATATGCCTAAACAAACTGCAGGCTCAGTCTGTTTTGTTTTTTCCTGATCTATTTTTATTTAAGTGGAACATTTCACTTTATGTCATAATCATTTACGCTGAATATTCACACACTATTTAAAGGTTTGCAAATTAATTTTTGCAACTTTGCTTTGTTATTCTTTAAAGTTGCCTTGGCATTAATTTTGAGGAAATCCTTCCAGTCCATGAGTTCTATTTCCAATGAAGATGACCTTTTGGTAAATATATACCAAATTACTCCATTTGTATATTTTTAATAGCTATTATGAATCTTATTCCTTAGTGTGATGGGAATACTGGCGTAAAAAAGAAAAAATGAATTTATTAGAATTTATTTTTTAAAAAAATCAATAAACTGTTTTTCATTGCCTTTTTCAATGCCTCAGACATTGTTACTTACAGGTTTAAGCTGCAGGAGTTTTAGACAATGTCTTTCTTTGAGAGTGCCCAAGCGGATTGACTTTTGTAGAGTAAGGGTTTGTGCAGATGATAGAAGAGCAGAAAGAAGCATACCTTGGATGTATTCTGCAGAATTCAAAGCTTTTGCTTTGCTCTACCATATCAGCAAATCTGTGCCAGCCCTTAGAATTTTTACCATGTTTATAGTAAGATTTAGAATCCTGTGTAAGAAAACATTCCATAACAGGCAAGGTTAGGTCTTAATAACTCTTCATCAAATTCTAATGACTATATGAATTTAAATCAAATGCAGATCCAGCAATTAGACAGCATCCTCCATGATCCATGAATCAAAGTAAGCTGTAAGTATGTGTGGGGTGACAAAGTACAATTTATTGCATGTTTATTTACAATATTAATGTGAAAGTGAGCCTGAGGTTCTGTCAGTAAAATATATTAACCATTCCTATTTTGATAGGCACATGCTACAGTATACAGTATGTACTGCTTCCCAACAATTTCCCACAAATGCTGTTTGAACTATGAATCTCCTAATTTGGACATCAGTATTCATTTCCAGTTTAACAAAAGCATTCTGTGTGTAAATTAAGCAAGGTACTAATATTAACTCCACATTTACAATAATAGGATTGAGAGAAGTTACAAAAAAAGAGGATAGTACTAGTAACCATAAAGATGATGGGCATATTGCTACAGACTGATAAGAATTAGAGAAAACTAGATCTTGTTTTTCCACAGAGGACTACTTTATAATCAGAAGATTGTTTATTGGTCCATTTACATAGCTGGATAGTCAACCAGCAGGAATGCTAAGAGACTCTTGTGTAATGAGAGACTGGACAAGATGTCTTAAAAGGTCTTGTCCAGTACTAAATTGCTATCACTATTTGTTACTGGAATGCAACTAATCAGATGGTAAGATTATTTTTTAAAACGTGTTACCATACATCTGCAACCAATTATAATTGGAAAGCAGTTGATATTTAGTATATGAGCAAATGTTAAAGATTATATTTAATGACCTTGGTCACCACCTATTTATGGAGGCAGAAACGATGCCATGCACTGTTCATTCCAATCCCATATGAATGCATCTTCCATTTGTGCTTTTCTGTTTGATATTGAAAACTGTTTCCCAGCTTTTTCTGGTTCAAGCATTGCTGATATATATTTACTTTCTTCTAGCTAATCCCTTGCACCCAAGTGGCTACTCCATGCAGTGGATGGGAATCCTCCCCACCCTGAGCTTCATCAATGGTTGCTTCAGTTGTCTAATCTCTGCTAGTAACCACAGTTTTCAAAGATATTTCTGAAGTATAATTGTTAGAACATCTGCACATTCCATCCACCAGGAAATCTTTTTTAATTACCATTCTCCTCCAAAGTTACTGACTTTACTGCTCAGCTTTTGGGGGGGTGGGTGGGGGAAGAGGGGGAATAAATCCACCAGTGACTGATGAAATGTTGGATATTTCTTTCTTTCATTTTCTTTTTATTGAGCTCTCAAGTAGCCCAAATAAATGTGCTTTGCATGCTTAAGATTACATTACTAATATTTTAGATTGCTTACTTTAAGTTGAGGAAGAAAGAATAGAGATTTTGCATGCATAAAATCTGTTCATGTGGATAGACAGATAAGGTGTAAGGCCTGTGAAATCTTATGTCTCATGTTCTGGAAAGCTGCTGCCAATCAAAATAGACAAATTCAGAGACTCTAATATAGTATAAATAGCAGTGTATTTTTTTCTAATTCTTTGCCTTGCAATGTTTTCTTATATATTTATTTTATTTATTTATTCAAATTCTGTAGCCACCCAATTCCGCTAAGTGACTTTCAGTGGTTTACAGTTCTAAAATTATAAAAAAATTAATAACATTAAAACATTAAAAACATCCGCAAAATAAATAAGAATAACAGCAGCCAAGTTTTTAAAGCTTTGTAAAAAGCCCACTGGACTGGAGTCAGGCACAGAAAATCAGGAGTGTAGAATAAAGTTTAAAAACACTACAAATGTATTCCATGCAACCTATATACAAGAATATGATCTATTAACGGTCAAGGCAAATTGGCACCAGATAAGAGTCAATGGACTTCAAGAGGGTTGGACTTGGGTCACCTACCGTGCGTAGTGACTCCAAACTGGTAATGCATTTGAGCCCACCCTTGAGCTCAGCCTCACCCTACAGTTGGAGCCATTCTAATTTCCAAGGGGAGAATATTCCATGAGGCAAGGGCTACAGCAGAAAATGCTCGTCTTCTAATTCCTCCTACTTGACACTCTTGGGATTTGCAGCATGACCAATCTCTTGGATCAGATTGGACAGGTAGAAACTGTTGGAAAAAGATAATCCTTCAGGTAACCAGTCCAAGCCATGTGTGGCTTTAAAGGTGACAACTAATACCTTGAGATGCACCTGAAAATACACTGGCAACCAATGCAGAGTAGTGGTGTTACATCTGCTGTGTAGCTGGCAGAATTTATTGCCCATGCAGCCACATTTTGTACCAGTTGAATTTTTTGAATGCTCTTCAGGGGCAACTCCATGTACAGCTTGTTACAATAATCTAAGAGAGAGGTTACAAGGGTATGAGTGACAGTAAGCAGGGCCTCCTGGTTTAGGAATGGGTGCAATTAGCACACTACCCAAAGGGGTTGCAAAGGCTCTCCTAGCCACAGCTGCCATCTGTTCTTCAAGCAGGAGCTTTGAGTCTAGGAGGACCCCCAGATTACAGCCCAGGTCTGGGATATTGCCATACCATCCAGAACCAGAAATGGAAGAACCTTGTTTCTGGAAGGTCCAAATACCTACAGCGAATAGAATAGAATAGAATAGAATAGAATAGAGTAGAGTAGAGTAGAGTAGAGTAGAGTAGAGTAGAGTAGAGTAGAATAGAATAGAATAGAATAGAATAGAATAGAATAGAATAGAATAGAATAGAATAGAATAGAATAGAATAGACCTTGGAGGTCTTCTAATCCAGCCCCCTGCTCAAATAGGAGACCCTATACCATTTCAGACAAGTGGCTATCCAGTCTCTTCTTAAAACCTCCAGTGTTGGAGCACCCACGATTTCTGAAGGCAAGGCTGTTCCATTGGTTAATTGTTCTCACTATTAGGAAGTTTTTCCTTAATTCCAGGTTGTCTCCCTGAGTTTTGCTCTTGCAAAAAATTTGCAAATTTAACTAAACCTGATGGAAATGAGATCAGTAGTGCATAGTTAAACAATATAATTTGGTGTAATTAATGATCACCAACCTATGCAGCTAAAAAAAGGTAATTAGTATTGTGAAAGTTGAATCTTGAATTGTACCACATAAAAACTGCATCTGCTGCTGCATTACTTGTATTACTTTGGCTGCAAAGCAGCAGTAATACACTGTAAATTCTTAAATACTCTATTTCCTTGGCATTATTTACCATTCTTTTAAAATTTTCATTCTCACTTCAACTACTGATGATCCTTCATTCTGCTAGTGTCTGTGTATGTCTATTTTCTGATTGGACAAACTGTAGCTTTCATTCTTCCTGCCTCCAGTTGGTGTTTCTCGGCCAAGCCAAGAGATAAGGCCTCAAATCTTATTTCTCCTTTACTTCCTTTATGTCAGTGTTTCCCAAAATTGACAATTTTAAGGCATGTGGACTTCAACTCCCAGAATTCCACAGCATTGCTGGCTGTGGAATTCTGGGAGTTGAAGTCCTCATGCCTTAAAATTGTCAAGTTTGGGAAACACTGCTTTATGTATATACACTTCTGAACATCCCCAAGATGTCAAAGTCACATCAATAAGTTATTTTTTTTTAAAAGAACACTTTATAAAGATTCAGCAGTATAAACAGTCTAATGTATTAAGGGTGGGAAGAAATATTGTATCTCACTAGCTTAGTCTACTAGGGTGAACTTACAATATTTGTTTATTTTGTGTTTGGCATTGCTGAAACAAATGATGTGGTTCATAACTTAGTTCTATCATATTTATAGCATTGTGTGCTATTGATTCAGACTCTTCAGAGACTTTGTTATACCACGTAATCGTCAGGTTATGATAGCAATTTGGGCTGGGATTACTGTAATCAAGCGATTCAGTCATAAATGTCATGTCACATGACCACATTACCTATCAACAGCAATCCTGGCATGAGTCATTGTACGGGAAAAGGTGGAAGTCCCAGGGAAGGAGCATGGGAGGTTGGACCTGCCATGGGCAGTTGCCTCACAACATGGTATGGTGGCTAGGGCCATGGGATGATCAGGGGAGAGGCCTTGGGTGAGTGTTTGAGGGACATGGGCAGTCCAGTGAGGGGCACCGGGGGTTGCTACAGGTGGGCATGATATGGAATGCAGGTGGATGGGAGGTTATATGGAGTATGAAATCTCTGGGATCTTCTGCTCCATAGCGGGGTCCTTAGAAGACAAGGCACTAGGAATGACTTACTGGAGCAACTTGTGACAACTTGTCATAATTGTGAACCATGTCTCATGATTACCAGTGGCGACCACCCCTGTCAGTTTCTCACAAGCAAAGTCAATTCTTAATCTTAAAGCTAATTTGATTTCAAAACAAACCTTAGAGTAATTCAGACCAATACTTAGAAAGTTGAAATATTGAAACAGCTTCAGAGGTGAATATTGACAAACTTGTATATGAGCTTTTCTTAATTAGATATATATAGCAAAAAGCAGCTATTGCTGGGGTGATGTATAGTTGCTAATATTATACAGTATACATTTTTCCTAGAAACTTTACTCTTCACTATTTTCTTGACTGGTTGGAGTTTTGTGGTATATTAAAACACAACAGGATAAGACTGCATAAATTATGGCCAGCTGGAGACAAGATAAAACCAGCATCATGGAAACTGATTGTTAAGTGGAGCTTTCCAGACCATCCCAGGTTCATCATAAATAACAAATGAGCAAAGACTTTGTGCTTTCAAAAAAAATTTTTTAAAATGAGATTAAGAAAAGCAATATTTTTATCTAAAGAGCTAGTTGACTTTTAAAAGAAGGAAAATTAAAATCAATAATTTTAAAATACTATAAATAATAACTATAAGTAATCAAAAGTGAGATTCAAATTTACCTCCATGAATATTATTTTTAAAAAGCATAGTACCTTGTTGTAATAGTCCACATAGTGGAGGAGAGCACAATCATCAACTTTGGTTATGGTCAGGTTAGAATGTGAGAAAATATTTCTTCAAATAATTGTTTCATTTGTTTTTTATTTGGAAGAATACTATGGAAGTAAGCAAACTAGTCTGTTCAGGATAATCTATTCTGCAGTAATTGCAGCTAGTCTACACATAAGGTAATATAGTAATCAGTATGGGGAAAAAAATAGGATACACGCAACAAACAAATGATGGTTTGTTTAACCATACACCATTGAATAAACCACAGTCAGATGGTCTTGCAGAAGGTTCAAACCATCACATAAAACGAGCCTGTTATGTGCACATGATATTTATTTGCTCAGGAAATTTCTTGGTGAAATAGCAGCTGTAAATGAAAGGCTGGAAGCCACATCTCCTCTTGCAGATCTCTTTTTTCATGAAAAGTGCTGAACTGGATGAATATAGCATTTTTTTTTATTAGAGAGCCCCTTACCCACAGGAATCATTTCATCAGACTGTTAGCATTCACTGATTTATGTTGGAAAAGAACAGCAAATATACAGTAACTGCTTTCAGTTTGACTGAAGAATGATCAACATCTACCTACAAATGACATTTACCAGATAATGAACCTATTCTACATATAATGCTGTAAGTATCCAATTTGTCCTGCTATGGCAAAATCTCCAGAAATTGCTCCTCAATATTAATTTGCAACTCAAAGATTTAAGTTGTTTTTATTTTTAATATACTGTATGCATTACATTCAGTTCAAAGACTGAATGTAAGAATGTGCCCTATCAATGTGCCATTTAATTCCAGAGAGATTCCATCATTAGAGAGAGTCACTATGCCAAAGGCTCTTGTAACTTGTGAATCCTCGAGACCCACAGCATTTGTTCATGGAGCAGTTTGCAGCTATGTCTGTAATGGGGTAAGTGGCCTTTGCAGAACTCCATATGTTGTTTCAGTTTCGATTCCTTCCGGAATGTTGGGCTTTATTCACAGTTGTTAATGGCTTAGTCATCTCCTGATTGGATATGGGACTATTCCTGAACAGCATTTGTAAGCTACAACTGAGTCAGAACACAGTGGGCCCAAGTAGTACTGCATGTTCTTTGTTGTACCCATTTAAAACATTGAAGAATATTTTCTTGAACACCTTATTAATTTTATTAACCTGTTGCTAAACCCAGATAAATATTTCTGGGATTCATTTTTCTGTGCCCTCCAAGAGCGCTAATCAACCTGTGATATTCCATGGTTCCTTTCACT